GCATACTGACTATACCACATCCCACGGTGGTAGATGAGCTCACCCAGTGGCTTCATGTAAATATTGAAGAGGAGAGGAGAAGTCACCAAAGCCTGCAAAACCCCACAAAGAAGGGCAGGATCTCTCTTTCCCAATCACTACCAACTGGTATCAACCCTGAAGAAAGGAAGAGAATAAGCACAACACAGTGCTGCCCACCCCCAACCCTTGGATCTGGTCCAGAAGGATACCATGGTCAATAGCATTGAAGTTAAGAGGAAGTCAAGAAGAGCAATTGAAGTTAAGAGGAGGTCAAACAAGAGCTGGAAGAATAAAGCATTGAGCTATCATGGTGGCCGCACCTACAATACAAACGAGATGAGAAAGATGCTAAAATATATGGTTTTTATAAAGACCAGACAGTGTTTGACCAAATACTATTGTCATCAGATGAAAAATTGATTAAGAAACTATATAGATTTCTGTTAAATTTAAAGATGGAAGATGAACAAGTTAAATAAACAATGATAACGGGCAAAAAACTTTGGGCACAATATAGAGGTAGAAAAATGGCAAAATTTGTGGGAAAGAAACTATAAAATAACAATGGCAGCTGTGTATAAAGAAAATCTATATAAAATGTTTTATAGATGGCATTTACCACCTGCGAGGTTAACAAAAATGTTTAAAAATATGTCTAGCAATTGTTGGAAATGTAGACAAAAGCCAGGCACGTACTATCACCTTTGGTGGACATGCCCCAAAGCAAAATAATTCTGGTCAAAAATACATATGTGGTTAGAGAAAATGTTAAGAAAACACGTAGATTTTAAGCCAGAATTATTTCTATTAGGTATAATCTCAGAAAATTATGATAAAGAATGTGTATATTTAATCTTACATGTATTAACTAACAGCAGCGAGAATTACATTTGCACAGCATTGGAAAAATAAAGAAATACCAGCTGAAGAAAAGATAATTAAGAAAAGTTTGGACTGTGCAGAAATGGACAGGTTGACATTGAAAATGAAAGGGAAAGAAGATACAGAATACTTTCAAACATGGGATGTATTTTATCAATGGCTAGAAAAACGGACTAGGGAGTAGGAACTTAAGATGCATTATTATGTTAAATATGTGGATCCAGACAATATATTGTTTACTAAGTACTAAAGATTTGTAATTATAAAAAAATAATGAAATATTTTTTACAAAAAGAATTCTTCCAAAACTGCTGTGTGACCATCTTTTCAACTGCCTTCCTTCAAAAGGGAAGGTTAGATATTGAGTGAAAATTAACCAGTATGGTGGTATTCAGCAATTGTTTCTTGAGTAGGGGTGAAGTGAAGGAACAACCCCTCATTCAAGGAAGAATTCACCATTGCCAGAATCCACCCACATGAATGAGCAGATTTAGTTAGCCAGGAGTGGCATAGGTTTAAAGAGTAGGTGACTGAGCTCACAATCCTAAAGTCCCTGTCCACTTCCTCAGGACCAAATGGTTGAAACCAATCTCAGATAACAGGACAATAATCTACCCTTCACATCTCCCTAAAACTGCAGTAAACCCAGCATCCAACTAAGAATGGACGTGAACAATTTTGTCCAACAGTTGCTGAGCAAATTCTTCTGCACGGCCTTGTAGTAGGGTCTCTAAGCCCCCTCTACCCAAGAAGTCCTGTGTCATCCAAAGCAAAGTAATGGGGCAGCTATCTATGGATGCTTCGAGGTAGACTTTAATAGTAGCTCTAGCTCATGTTTGGCCATGTTGTCCCTTGCCAAGCACCAAAAGTTCTAGATGTCTCTTCTCCCATTTCATCTCCCTCAATTCTTCAGTGAATCACCAAATCTTCAAATGGACCAGAAACAACCCCCAGTTCCCTGATCATCAACTCATCATGGTCCATCAGTCTCCAAGGGAACAGAGAATCCTATAATAATCAGGGCATGGTCTGCCCCTGACAAGAGGGATATCAAAAGTAACATACATTATATATCTTCTCAGATCAAAGTTTGGGCATTTCCAACAATTGCTTTCCTCATGTAGTCTGCTGGTTAGTGTCCAGTTTTGGCAAATGATTCTGTCCTTTTTTCTGTATATTATTTTGATAACACTGTATGCTCATCACTTGACCATAGCAGTTAAATGTATAGTTTATTGAGACTGATAAAGGCTGAAGCTTTTGAAGAACCAGAAATTACTTATTTGTAACTTAGAAAAGTGGGATATTATACAGTTTTTCTGTGCATTTTCAAGTTTTCCCACAGAACAGGAAATAGTATTTTCTTAGTCTAACTTATTTCATTTCTTTATTTATCAAATTTATATGCTACCCATCTTATTTTTGCCTCTAAGCTGCTTTAATAAATCTAAATGTATTTAAACTATTTTAAAATTATTTATTAAATTTATTAGATTTAGAATAATTCTAATGATGAAGTTAGATATATGCAGTGATATACCTTTATGTTCTGAAGTTGTTGTTTATTGGAGGGTTTTTGTTTTTGGGCTCCTACTGTCCTTCCCTCTGTTAATATTTTGGTTTTTGAAGGAAATGTTTCTAGTAAATACTTTTTTAAGATGATAGGGAATTACAGTCTAAGATATTAAAAGGAGCTAGGCTGAATAATGATCTACAAAAATCATATTGAATTGATTTATAGCAATTGTCTTTTCTTCTCCCAAAGGCTAATAAAGATGTCTAGTCCTTACATGAACAATCTCATTATTCTTGGGGGAATGCTGTCCTATGCATCTATATTCCTTTTTGGGCTTGATGGATCTTTTGTTTCTGAGAAAACATTTGAGACTCTTTGTACCGTAAGTAATTCTGAACCATTTTGTATAAAATTCATATTTCTATAAAATTTCTATTCTTTTAACTGCAACTACTTATGCACTTGAAGTTTGAAACACTGCAACTTTGATATACTGTAAGACATCCAAATATTTGGAAAAATACAGAAGACTTTCAGAAAGTAATATATTTTAGTGCAACTTTGCTATACTGTAAGTCATCCAAATATTTGGAAAAATATAGAAGACTTTCAGAAAGTAATTTATTTTAGTGCAATGTTAATAAAAAAAGGTGGAAGTATAAGTGTATCACAGTGATTTAATGATCTCAGATTGGCCACTAGTTTCGTCTAGGGCTATGTGCAACAAATCATGATGACGCCAAAATAAGAGCACATGCACAGTGACATCATCATACAAATGCCATGTATGAATATGTATTCTAATGTCTTTTCTAAAATCCTTTTTTAAAGTTGTACAGTACAAAAAGACAATACAAACTGAGATCAGAAAGAAAGAATAGGAAGAAAAGAAATACAAAATGTATAGGAAAAAAGAAAAAGAAATACAAAAAAGAATATTTAAAGAAGTAACTCCTTATCTTCCTTGCAACAATTACAGACAAATTTATATTTCCCCACCTCCTATGAGATTACAAACATAATTCACTTCTTCACAGACCCCCCCCATCCTATGTAAATCCCAAAACAGTGTCTTTTCTATCCAGATGTCAGCAAAAAAAAAGTCTCTAAAAGGTGTCCAGACATCTATAGAAATAGTTCTCATTTTAATCCTGATCAAACAAGTCAACATTATATTCTTTTCTTTTGCTTCTGCCAATTTTAAGCTTTAATTAATCAAGTTGCTGTCATGGGATTGAATCTCCATTCAATTTTTCCTTCCTCAAAAATTTCTTCAAGGCTTCAGAAACTCTTTTTTTGAAAACCCAACAATAAGGCGTTGCCTAGATCATATTCATGGTTTATCAATTGTAATTTCACTTTGATTATTATCTCTGCTTTATAATCCACAATTTCTTTATTTTCTTTATTAACATCTACATTAATTGGGATTTGTTTCACTTTTTAATCCCGTCTGTCTATAAATTCTTCAATGTTATCCTTTTACATCTTTTTACTTCTTTAGAAATTTCTTCAAATAATGTATTTACAGGTGCAGACATTATTACTGTCATCTTACATATATATATTTATTTCTGCAGTTCTTCAAACAAAATATTAAATGTCTCAAGTGATATACTTTAGTCCAGTGGTGGCGAACTTATGGCACGGGTGCCAGAGGTGGCATTCAGAGCCCTCTCTGTGGGTATGTGCGCCGTCGCCCTAGTCCTAGGTCTTCAGCTGGGTTTTATAAAACCTTTTCGTTTTAGGCCTCTGGCGCCGTGTGCAAAAAAAAAAAAGGTTCAATCAATGAGTCAATTTCAACTTCTCGCGGGGAAAAAAAAGATCTTGCAAAGTTGGAATTGATTGAACTTTTTAGTCCCACCCAGTTTGCTGTTACCACCAAAGCCATGTCCACCCAATGGGCCACACCCACCCGGCACCCGACAATGCATAAATGGGTTTGGGGTTGCAGTCTGGGCACTCGGTCTCTAAAAGGTTTGCCATCACTGCTTTAGTCTGTCATTTTGTAAATTACACTTTATCTTTTTTCTCCCTAGAACTTTAGTTCCTTCTAGTGTCACATTTTGTATTCCCGAGATCTCAAATTTCCTTTTTTCTATTTTCAACCTTCATCCAATAAACTTTTTTTAGTAGACTAAACAATTCAAGTTCCCACAAAATATTGTTTTGTATGCTCAGTTTTTCAAAAGTCATAGCAAAATTCTAATATTCCAAATTTGTCTACTCCTTTATCTCAATTTAAAACTTGTTTTTAAATTAAATTCTTTTTTTATATTCAAATTTTTATTAATTTTCAAATAAACAAACAAATTACAAATATGGTATACATTAATAAACAAAAGAAACCCCCCCATATCTATTCAGAGATGCTCAGCAGCCCCCCCGCCCGCGTCCACCCTCTCTTTCACCCTTCCTACCTACTTCCCTCCTCCTCTCTTCCTCCTACCTACACCTCTCTCCTCCTTCCTCCTCTCAACTACCCTACACATCCCACCTCCTTCCTTTTCTCATCCTTCGGACGCAGTCTGGGGGCGCCAGCCGAGCATCTCATCTTCTTCAAATACATTATTTCACTATAACATTTTAATATACCAACATTTACATTTACATCTTAAACCCCCTCCCCCCCTCCCCCCCTGGACTTCCCGGAATCGAATACAGGGTTATGCACATGTCATCCCAGATCTAAATAAAACTACCCAAACTTAATACAATCAAATATTAACATGCTTTAACTCTAATAAAAAAAAATATCAACTTGAAATAAATATAAATATAAATTATATATAATATAATAATAAAATAAAAACAATATAAAATCTACTCAAAAGCTATATAGTATTTGTTCATTTCATACTTTCTCTGAGTATAATCTATCCATCTTCTCCAAACCAGAATAAATTTTTCTTGAGATTGATCTTTCAAGTATGCGGAAATCTTAGCCATTTCTGCAAAATACAACACTTTCATTCTCCAATCATCCATAGTAGGTAATGCATTCTTCTTCCAGTTTTGAGCAACCAATAACCTTGCTGCCATTATACAATACAACATCAAAATAATTTCTCTAGAATTTAAGTCTTCCATAATACCCAAAAGAAATAATTGCGGTGTAAATTTTATCTTTCTCTTAAAAATCTGTTGGATATTCCACCAAATCTTAATCCAAAAAGCTTTTACATCCCTACATGTCCACCAAATGTGATAATAAGTTGCATCTGAATTACCACATCTCCAACATTTGGGCTGTAGGTTAGGATACATACAAGACAACTTCTGGGGGTCCAAATGCCATCCATAAAACATTTTATAAAAATTTTCCCTTAAATTCTGCGCTTGAGTAAATTTCACATTTTTTACCCAAATTATTTCCCATGTATCCAGCAAAATTGGTTCTTGGATGTTTTGAGCCCATTTAATCATACAATCTTTAACTAATTCTGTTTCAGAATCCAATTCTATTAAAACACTATAAATTCTCCTAATATGAGCTCTACTTTGATCTTAATCTGCTTTATCAAATTCACATCCTCCAAAGTTAAACCAAGCTTTGGATCTATATGCCACCTATCTATCAATTGACAATATGAGAACCAGGAATGGAGAATATTATCTCGTTTCAAATCATCCAATGATTTAAATTAAATTCTTATTTAGCTTTTTGTCATTTTATTTTTACAGTTCCGTAAACTATTAGTTAGCTTTTCTTTTCTTTTAGGGTGATGTTTTACTTACCAGGTAGCTTTTCAAACATTGTTTGGAAAATCTTTTTAACTTTGAAATAATTGTAAACCTAAAAGCAATTAGAAAGCGAAGTAGATAAACCCAGCGTTCTCAAAGGCTCCACTGCAGTTGAGAGTTTGATGGCTTCCCTTGTCTCCCAGAACCATTTTCTGAGCAAGCTGAGAGGAGCAGCTATCTGAAGCTCAGGTGGGCAATTTCTCATCCTCTTCATACCCAGAGAGGTTCCATTGGACTGAACTTATCACTAATCATCATCATCATCATCCACTCTTTGGGAGATATTTAGTTTACCATTTATTCACCCAGAATTCTCCAACTTGTTTTCCAATATCTAATGCAAGAATGTAAGCCACAGAATTTGTGTGATGATGTCACAATGCATGGATCTTTGTTTATCCTTTCCCTGGATGCTATTGGTCTTCTTGCAGTAAGTTAAATAGTTGCTTGAGTAGGAAGCTGTTGCCAACACCCAATTCGAGATTTTCCTTTGCTACACTCCTTTCTTGAGTTATTTTCACTCTGGATTGTGTATTTAATCATCGAGCAATCTGTAGCATATGGGATACATATTTCTCTCTGTTTTTTCCCCCTAGTTTAAATCTATTAATAGGTTTTATATTGTACAATTACTGTGGACTATTGTATTTTGATGAAATCCTGACTGTAACTGCACACTGTCTAAAGTGGTCTTAAAGAACTGTCAAGCAATATACCCCTTTTGGCTATCTTTCTAAATCACTGTATTAATGTAGTTTATTAAGCTGTAAATAGAAGCACTGTTATTATTTTGTATGCATTTCATATTTATTTTTTCCTATAGACTAAAAAGTCTATGATTGATAATGTTGCAAAATACAAATCTGAGGAAGACTGCCCATGCAATCTTTTTCTAAATAACACTTTAACAAAAGAATATTTTGGAAGGGGATACTGTATGAGAATTGGCATTTAATTGGAGTACTGTGCTGGTCTAGGAGACAGTAGGAGAGGGAAAGTAGAGGACATAATAGAAAGTCTTGGAAATAGGAAAAGCTTATCACGACAAATACATATCTGCCTAGTTTTATTCTACTAATATATATCTACTAGATGTTATTTTTGCCGTTGATATCTTTTAAACTGTATAGGAGAAATCTAATAATTGCAAGGTTAACTGCAAAAAGTTAAATATTCAAATGTTAAAACAAAGAATTTAATTCTTTGAGAAGCCATAATTATAAAGAAATTATAGGGGAAATAGAAAATCCTACAGCTAGGAGGAGAAGCTAGGAAGTTAAAAATAAAAAAAATATTTACATTGATTTTTTTTTAAAAACTGAAAATTAGAACTTTTATCACTTTGACTGCATGGTTAAGTGCTAACTGATTATTTTAGCCATGCGTTATTTATGTTCTCTCAATGTTTTTTTAAGCTTCTTAACTGTAATTCATAGTTTTTTTGTATATGTTCCTGTAATTTTACATTTTTTAAAAAATGTAAAAAAAAACCTTTCCAACTTTGGGTAAATACTTATTGAGAAATTCAATCATATAATGACTCTTTTTAGCAGAAGTATTATTTATGGTTAAGATTGTAATGGGAATCTTATGTTTCTTATGGCCAAATCTGTTTTGTATGCTACCTAAAAAATGTTTGCAGTAAGAAAAGTGTTTGAGAGATTGATTTTATTATTATCTTCCCTTTTTGCTCAAGCAGAATATAAAATTAGAATAATTCTAAATTAAAAAACAGTATAATTAAATACATGAAGTCAATTACAATTAATTGTAACACAACTGAGGCACAAATCTGAATGATTTGCTTTGTCCAAATGGTTCAAGGAACAATTACAAGTGACTCACACAATTGTGGAAACCCACCTCTGGAAACAACCGGGCATTAAATATGCTCTCGGATTGCAGAATTCCTCTTTCAGAAATCTAACCCCATCCAACATAAATTAATTCCCCAAATCAAAGTTTGTTTTCCTACTCACCAATATCCCCCTGTGCCTCATCAGTCTTTAATTTCAGTTTGTGTACCTATTACCCATCTTATTACTGAACTTGAGGGTAATTCAACAGCAGAAGAATGTAAGTCACTTTTCCTTCCATATCCAGATTCCTAAATGACTCTTTCAGTAGTTTCATTTAAAAAGTAAACAGTGTAGAAAATAAGATACAGCATAGGTCAACATCCAGGGACTTACACCACCAACCAGACATGGTCAAACAGGAAGGACTGCTGTGTGCTCAGATGAGCAATCCAGGAGGATATTGAAGTAACTTCTATCAGCAAGAGAATTATTATTGCCACACCTTCATTCTGAGTTCCATTTCTCAGAGGGAATAATTTCTCTATTTATTAAGGATTTTCACCATCATTTCTATATTATACAGATCAGCCAGGATTTGTCAGTATTATATACAGGTAACAGTGGAAAAATATAGGATTGATTTCTTCTGAGATATGGACTGAAAGCATTTTGGTCTCAGGAAATAAAGGAAAGAAGGCGAAGAAATTCAGCATGGATATTACAGTTCCAGAATGTGAAATGTAGAGTAATAGAAATGTAGAGGCTAGCTAGCTCAGGAAGGGAAACTATTAACCACTGAAATGATATACCCACAATATCCTGGGTACCCAACCTCCACAATACATGGAATTAGCAGTCTGTTAAATGAAGTTTGCAATCATACAAATTCAAATTCTACATTATGACAGCTATATTGCAGAAAGAATGGGACAAAGGAGAAACAGGAAAGCAATATCACAGTCTTTGGATGAATCCCAAGATTTTCAATTATTGTGTCAAAAGTATGCCAAGGAAGGACAAGACTGAAGGAGATCCCAGGTTCCTAACAAGCATATGTGAATATGAACTTTGAAGATTTTAACTGGATTCTGAATTAACAGCCTCAGAAGAATGATTACTGTATTATAATATGCAACTGTAGAAGTTCATTTGCATCTCCATAAATTATGCAGGAGATATGTATGGGTATGATTTGCTGGATTAATATGAAATCTTTCCTGAGAAATTGCAGATGAAATGTTTAATTTATTTCTATTCTGTTGTTGTAATAACTTCCGCTGTGTTAGGAATGTCAGTTAATGCAATCATATGCACATTCATTACAAAAGGCCCATTGAATACAGTGGAATTTATTTTTTGGGGGGGAAAATGCATGGATTGTTTGTAAACTAAACATCCCCTCCTTTTGTCTTCCACTTTTTTTCCCTATAGCAGAATTTTGTGGCTTGGATATTATTTCCCATCAAGCTACATTATTTGGTCTGTTTCTGATAGTGTCAACATATCAGACACTGTTTTAACTCTGTTCTGTAACCCTGTATATTGATGAGCAGTATATAGGTAGTGCTCAAGTTACAACAGTTAGTTTAGTGACTGTTCAAGTTACAGCAGCACTGAAAAATGTGACTTATGACCGTTTTTCATAGTCATGACTTTTCCAGCATCCTCATGATCATTTGATCAAATTTCAGATGCTTGGCAACAGTTTCATATTTATGACCATTGCTGTATCCCACGGTCATGTGATCCCCTTTCGCAACCTTCTGACGAGCAAAGTCAGTGGGGAAGCCAGATTCATTAAACAATTGATTACTAACTTATCAACTGCAGTGATTTACTTAGCAACTGTGGCAAGAAAGGTCGTAAAATGGGGCCAAACTCACTTAACAAATGTCTCACTTAGCAGAAATTTTGGGCTCAACTATGGTCATAAGTCGAGGACTACCTGTACAAAGAAATAAAAACAAAGCGATTGCAAATGCTTAAGTAGAGAGTACTTCGCATGGGCACACAACATCTAGATGGTTATATTGGTTTTGAGGAGCCATCTTCATCTAACGATTTACTTGATTAAAATGATGTTTTAAGTTGGATTCCCAATGTTTATCTCTCTCCCCTTGTGTTCTTTTGGAACAATAGATTTCCCTTTAATGAAGTGTTTAGTGAATAGTAGAGCATAAAAACTGGCGAAAAAAATGCTAACAATGCAGCTTTCTGCATAATCAACATTGCCAGCTGAGCAGTCTGACCCACAGTCAAATACTTACACTTTTTCTCTTCTTTTTTGCTCTCACTGTCTGATGTACCAATAGGCAGCCTTTTGACAGCCAGTTTTTAAAGATCCATCTAAGGGCTGCAATAAGTGGGTCACTGACCAGTGCTGTCATCAGAATGGATAGATATAAATTGATTTGAGGGTCCATCAAGGAATAGTCGTGTGGGTTATTTTTATATTTTGCATGTGTTAATCAAAGCCTATACAATATTGGAGTACTTTTTACTGTTGAAATATGATAGGAAATTGCATTTTTGCTTTTTGATAATTTGTCACCAAAATTTAGTAATAAGACCTATGGGAGTTCTGGAAAGATTATAGGCTTGCGGTCATCAGTGTAATAATGCTTCCTTTTTACATTTCTTTTGTAACTGTAAATTTATTTTATCATCTTTACAAATTTTATCATCTTTACAAATCCAATTGAAATCAGTAGAATTGAAATTTATGTTTCAGGTCCCTTTGGACTAATTTGGCTATTCCTTAATCGTCAATAGATGATAATTTTTTTTCTTTCCTGTGCTAAAATACAGTATAAGTTATTATTTATCATTCTGATTTATAACCAATTCATAATTTCTGTGGGAAGTTATAAATGTTATTTAACAGGAGAATATAGAAATTCCAATATTTTGAGAGTGTTTTGTTGCCTGAACATTTTTCCCTTTGCTTAATCTACACATTGTTTGCAAGTCATGGGATGCTTGATAGGGAGAAAAACTGGTCTTTTCTTTATTTCAGATCCGGACATGGATTCTTACAGTGGGTTATACAACTGCATTTGGGGCAATGTTTGCAAAAACATGGAGAGTCCACGCAATCTTCAAAAATGTAAAAATGAAAAAAAAGGTCAGTTTTTTTTTAAAAAAAATAGTTCTATTAGCTCATGTCTGAGTTGCTTCTACTTTTTTTCTCTGACTGCTTAATTAAAAAATATTATGGGAAATCTGTATTGATTACTTGCTTTAACGTGTTTCCTATTTTTTCATAGCTGCTTAGTTTAGTTTAGTTTAGTTTAGTTTTATTAAATTTATACCCCGCCCTTCTCCCGGAGGACTCAGGGCGGCTTACAGCCAGTTTAAAAACAATAATACAATACAATACAAAATTTAAAAGTGATTAAAAATAAATATTTAACTAGGCCGCTTCTACTAAAAATCTTACACTCTTATATCTTATACTGGATAATAATAATAATAATAATAATAATAATAATAATAATAATAATAATAATAATAATAATAATAATAATAATAATAATAATAATAATAAAGTTGGAAGTCCAACCTCCTGCTCCGGCAGGAAACCCTACACCATTTCGGACAGATGGCTGTCCAGTCTCATACAAAGCCATCTATAATGTCATAAATTGACATTTGACTTGAATCAGGTTTAGAAGTCCTGAGATGGAGGGGCTTGAATTGTGAAAACAATCCAACTGAAGAAAAAGTTCTTAAACATTAAGCCAGAAGTCTCTGCAATTGAAATTGGTTTTCATGGTTAATATTACCATTTTGTTCTTATGGCCCGAAAGGAAGAATTACTTGACTTACAGATATTATTACAAAATCTTGGCTGAGGAAACTCTCCTAAACATTCCTGAGTTTTAGATTTTAGATTTTTTAAAATCCTTGATGAAGTAAGATTTGTTAATTCAAGAGACTACGCACATCCCTAGGTATAGGATGGACAGCTTCTATTGTGTAGTATCGTAAGTAATATTATAAGGTAGATACATTGAGGCCGCATATGGCGTGCAATTTTGGATGTTAAATAACATATTCTGCCAAAATGGGTGTAATTTATGATTGAAGCTGTTTAGCTTGGACCTGGGCATATTGCCACTGTGCTTATTTTTTCTTGTCTAGCTGTCAATCTAGACTGATAGAAGTCGTGATTTATGATTGCCAGGGGCCATTGTCTTCTATTTCATTGGCTGGCTCTTCCTTTGTAATCTGTATGTCACTGGCCTTTTCTCAAAAACAGATTTGGCAAATGCAGGTTAGGGAATTACATATTCTATGTTGTAATCTGTATGGAAGAAACAATGAACTATTGGAAATAATAGAGAATAGAATATTTCATGGCTTTCCTATACTATTTATAGTTCCATATTTTGTGAATTAAGTGCAAACAGTGTGGGTGGCATGGAATGTTCTATCTTCTGTTTCTTAGGCTAACAATTTTCTCTGTTGTTCTTCACTTATGAAGTTTTTGGTTTTAATTAGGCAAAAATCATCAACTCCCAGGATTTTGTCTTCTACCTTTTAAAAATTATATAGGAAGTACTGCACAGGGAAAGGCTGAATTAAACAGTATAGTAGACCATGATGTAGGTAGTTGATATGGTTAATGTGATATGTGTGTCCAGATATTATAGTTTATATACCAAGATTTGTGATATGACATGATGCAGAAATTCAACCACTTTGATAAGCAAACTGTAGCTTAATGCAATGTGGTACTGCTATATTGCGGATAGACATAAATTTAAAAAAATGCTGGTGCAACTAAACAGAAGTTGATTGCTATTTATTTATTTGGAAGATATGACCACAAAACCTGCATGGTTGATTGTGACTTCAGGCAGCGATCATCAGTAAAAATAGTGGAATTTCAAATTACAAGTAAAACCAATGATATCAAGAAAACTAAAGCAAAAGTGACATGCTAATAGCATACTGTTGGCCATCATAAGCTTTACTTTCCAAAGATGAACTCTTCTATTATCACACCCAATGCCTGGAGAAAGGCTCAAATTCTAAAAGCTTCCCTAAAGGTGAACAGGATCAAGGCCAGTGAAATCTCGAGGGGAAGGGATTATTAAAAAGGACATCTGCTGCAACTAAGATAGCATACCTCCTAGATATAATACCTTCATTGCTTCAAGGCAGGGATCTGGTGCATGCTCATCCTGATAGAATATGTGGGAAATAATCAGAAAACAGCCTGCTTCTAATCTATATAGGGCTTCATATTAATCAGAACATTGAATTGCCCCTAAAGAGCAATTGGAAGCTAATATAGCTGGTAAAGTATGACATGTAGGTAACTATATATACCATTACATTCTGAACTATTAGCAGCTTCCAGAGAGTTTTCAAGGATTGACCCATATGGAGGACATTGCAATGTGGATATTGAGGTACTACATGCAGAGCCTTCTGATAGGTAGGAATGGGTAAAATTGCTACAAAAGCTGGAGTTGTACAAGGACTCTCCTGGCCATAGCTGTCACAGGTCCTCAAATAGGAGCTTTGAGTTCAGGAGAACATTCTAGGGGAAATTATTAAGAAGGTGACCTGGCAACAGTTCCAGAAGATCCTGGAAGAAACTGATTATTTGAACTTGGCTCAGTTTCATTTTGATTTTGGACCAGAGTCCAGTGTAGAGATAGCACTGGACATGCTTACTGATGATCTTTGGTAGAACAATACCAGCTGGAACTGATAGGAAGGAAAGAGAAGAACTACTTTAACACCGTGTCTCCCACTCCCTTTTCCAACATCCTGAGCTGGTTCAGATGGATACCTTAATTGATAGTGCTGAAGGCTGCTGAGAGCTCAGGGGGACAAGAATAAATGCACTCTCCCCACTGAGAACTCATTACAAATACAACTAATGCTTGATACCATGTTCAGTCTGAAACCAAATTGACAGTGACCCCAGAATATGTTGCTGAATATGTAAAATAGGCACATTAAACCTCCAAGATATGTAAAATAAGAGCATTGACCTCACTCCAAGCCACAAAAAAAAATCACTGGCAATGTCATTGTGTCAATATTCTCGGAGGGTACTTTTTAAAAAGTATTTTTTTAAAATATCCAGATCTATTTTAAATAAACTTTGGTTACCACTTATGCTTAGATATCCTTCCAATCAGATGGTTGCAGGTTTCTAAAGCCTTTTTTGGAAACCGTTTTGCTTAACATCAGAGCTGTTTTATTTTTAGGCTTTACGTTTATAGATATGGATTTATTTATTAGAACTTTACTAATGCACACTGTGAGAATCAGTTGGTGTAGTAGTTAAGGCATAAGGCTAGAAACCAAGAGACTGAGTTCTAGCCCTGCCTTGAGCACAGAATCAGCTCGGTGACTTTGAGCTAGTCACATGCTCTCAGTCCTAGGAAGGAGGCAAGGGCTAACTACTTCTGAAAAACCTTGCCAAGAAAACTGCAGGGATTTGTCCAAACATTGAATGGAAGAAAACACATGCACACACAGACATACACCATTTTGATTTAAAAAAATATGATGATGATCTGACAGATTACCAGAAACCATGGAAGGGTTACGATGGACAAGTCTATATTGTATTTGCTGTCTCCAAGATACTTGGTTCTGAGATTTAGGAAATGGGATACAAAGTGAATCACTATTAGATTAGATAGAGCAGCCTGGCTGTGAACAGTATTTTGATCCATAATCTTAAACAAACTAACCTAATTTTTATGTAGTGTAACAGCTTTAGCCGACCAAATATAATTTATCTTTTGGATTCTTCATTTCTTTGAATTTTGTAATGCGTTTTGGCTCAAAAGCTGTTTGCAATAATGTATGCAAAACATGTACAAAATGGGTGTGTGGGAAAAACTTTGTACAATTCCATGCATTTTTTTAAAAAATAGGATGATGGCAGAGAAATTTGATCAAATAATTTTTTAATTAAGTATGTGTGAAACTGAAATGGATTTAGACGTATATCCATACTTGGAAACTGAAAGTTTCCCAACATAAAGTGTTCAGAATATAGCTTAGACAGTAAGAGCAGTTCAATTATAGTAACATCCAAAAATATATTTCTATTAATTATATTCTTGTCAAATCTTAATGGTGTAGAGTGGCAACAATAAGCTGCTGAAAGGTAGGAAATAAATCTGAAAAATAAGCAAATATTTTGTGACTGTTCTTCTCATCTCACCAAGCTGTCTATAGAGAGGTCTCAAGTTTACTGGAGCCTATTTGTACTATGCATGTAGCCTTTCTAAGCAATGCTGAGAATGATGTACTGTGGAGATAGGCATGAAGATCTCTAAAGAGCTACAGTTAGTCCTCTCTTAACAACTCTAACTGGGACCAGAATTTCCACTGCTAAGCAAAGTAGTTGTTAGGTGAAACATGTGACCACCCTGCTTAATGACAACAGTTATGATAGTCCCTCTTGCAGTAGTTAGGCCAGGACTTCTTGCTTCTCCTATCCTCCTATCCTCCCATCCTCACCTTTGCTTCAACTGCCTGCACCGCCTAACTCCCCGCAGCTGCTGTCCCTTTGCAGGACCCTCACATGGCCTCATCGAATCCTTGTGAAGTTGTACAGAGGTCTCGCAAGGCTTTGACAAGTTGCATCTCATCGACGGTGGGAGTTTGAAAACTAGTCTCCTTTTACTGTAGATTAATGTTAGATTTCTTCTTAATTCATTCTGATTTATAAGTATATATCGGGGGGGGGGGGTTGTCATTTGATAGAGGTAAAAATCTCCATTCTAAATAAATTGAGCATGACCAAATGCACTATTTAAATGCCATCTGTTGAGAATGAATGGCCAAATGATGACTTATATTTAACGTTTCCCAGAACTGTCGTTTATTTCAAAATAAGAAAAAATAGAAACTTGGTACTTAAAACTTCAAAAAGTGAAATAGAACATGACGCCTAATTTCATGTGATCAGTAGTACTTTTTTTTCTAGAGCAGTGACACAAACGGAATACATTTGTTTTTCTGGAATTTGAATTTTTTGAGGCATCCCAATATATTTTTAGTAAGGAGGATCAGGCACCCTTTTTTTAAAAAAAGAGTTGCATTCATAGAGGCAATGTGCTGGGGACCATGTGCTAACTGATAGAGATCAAAGAAGCAAAGGCATAACGCCAATATCATCCATCAACTCTCTTTTGGACATGACTTTTTTTCTTCTACTGACATCCTCTTTTTTTTCTTTCTTTTCCTGTTTCCCCCTTCTCTCCCTCTCCCTGTCCCTTCCAATTCAGAAGACTGATTGTTTTTGTCAGAGTAATCACTTTTGCCCTTCCAGAAAGTCATGAAAACCAAGCTATTCTGGTGGGCTTTGGGTAATTGAATTCATCATTGTAAATTAGACTGTTAATTGTATATTATTGAATAATTGTTATACAGTTGCTGCTGGTTTTGGTGGTATTATTAAATTATGGCACTAGAAGTGTGGTTGGTTAGGCAATTTGTAGCAATATTTTTGTCAGGAACCTTCTTTCAGCATTATACTGTTACTATGAACATTTTGGTCATAGTTTTCATAGGCTTCCATGATTTGAATGCATTTGGGAGCATACAAATTTAGTGTATCAAATTAAATTAACCTTTTGCTTAAAGGGCTTTTGAAATTCGGCTGAAAGCCACAGGTTGCCCATCTCCAAACTAGGACAAGATGTATTGGGGTTGTATCCCCGATCCAGGATTATGTAAATGTATACTTGGGGGCAAGACCTACTGAAATCAAAGTTTCATATTTCTGAAAGTATATATATAGAATTATGGTAATAAATTAATGTCATTTCAAAACCCATTCAAAATAGTAAGAATTAAGTTAGGTCGTGAATAAGTGATTTTGACACTATCTAAATGCAACTGATTTAGTGTGGACTCACAATTAACTCCATGGTTTCTGTTAAATGAAGTATAGTGAGAACATGAACTACATAAAATAAATATTTAAAACAGGTTTGAGCAATCTACAGACTTTAGCTTATTCGTGTAACCTCAATCTAATTTTAACAGCCTTTTTGCAAAAAAAAAAAAAAGTTGCCTTCTAGCAAGAGAGATCTGTCACTTCTAGCTGTCTGCTGGGCAGAAAAAAAAATAGAGTGAGCAACTGATGGCATAAAAAAAAATAGAAGAGCAAAGAAAGAGAGAGAGAGAGAGAGAGAGAAAAGGGTTGGTCCATCTATTCACTTTTGTCCACTCACTCACTCTCTTGCCTTCAGCCCTACTTTTAGTGGATTATGCTAAAGAGAATAATTTTCGATTAGGATAGGGATAAGATTTTAATCTTAAGCAATTTGAATGTCACTAAAGGTATTTAGGGAGAGCCAATTTAATGTAGTGATTAAGATTCTAGGCTAGAAACAAGGAAACTGAGTTTTAGTCCCACTTTGGGACAAAACCAGTTGGAGTACCTTGGGCCAGTTTGTTCTCTCAGTCCTGGGAAGAAGGCAGTAGTAAATCATTTCTGAAATCTTGCTTATATAGAACTAGGAAAATAGTCAGGGCAATGGCCAGGAGTTAACACTGACTGAAAGGCACACATGTGCACACACAAAGGTACATATAAGAGGCTGAGATGTACAGTACATTAAACAAAATATATGATACAACTGAGACTTCACTCTGCTCTGTTCTTGAACTCTGCATATATCACAAATTAAGTATAGCAAGAGAGTGATTCCTTATTTTGCTTTATAGAATTGGAGGTCCTGCTTCAATGCAGTTTATCAATATGTTTTTATCTTATATTACTATCATTTGTAAGGGGTAGGCAAAATTTCAAAAACAACCTGACTTAAAATTTAACTGTAATTTATCCTGAATTATTTAAGTATGAATTTATGCAAGAAAAAAAATTAAGGTGTTTTGTGTTTATGAAGAATGTGTTAAATTCCAGTTTTTCTATTCTCGTCGGTTTGATTTATATATTTGTGTTTTTTAGACTGTGCCAGCAAACAAAAAAATCAAATAAATATAGCTTGTGAAATGGCTTTACTATGATCAAGTAAATGAAGATTTTATCCATGCATAATTAAAATACCTCATTAACAGTGTGCATAGTCTGATTTACAGCTCTTAACAAAGTCTCTAGAGGAACCTCTGAATTTAATGTAAATATCCTCCTATATTCTCTATTTTGTTTCCATAGATCATTAAGGACCAAAAACTAATGGTAATCGTTGGAGGAATGCTACTGATAGATCTTTGCATCTTGATTTGTTGGCAAGTTGTTGATCCCTTGAGGAGAACAGTAGAAAAGTACAACATGGAGGTCTGTCATTTCAGCTATTTTATATTAATGGTTTTCCAGTTAGTTGTTTAAGATTGTAATGCAAAATAAAATAAAAATATATCCAAAATGATAGGTATATACGGTATATTTTAGTGATACATATATCACAAATAGAATATATACGTATGCGTGTGTATCTCACATTACACAAATGGAATCCAGCATCTCTACCATGCTAAGAGGTTTGAGATGCAGAAATATTGTAAACACAAGGGAGTTGTCTGCTAAAAGTCTATAAGAGATGGTGTTGCAATAAATAATAGATTTTCGGACTCCATTAGCAGATTCATGAGGAACTAATGCAAGCTACACATAAAATAAAAGCATAATATGACGTTCCAAAGATCACTTTATCAAAACTAAGCTTCCATTTCTACTGTTGCTATTGAGGTACTGTAATATCACTGTCTATTACTTTGCTCAAATTAGTTGATTAGTCCAATTTTGGTATCATTTTAAAAAGAGTCACCCAGGAAATATAAGTCAAGGGTGAGATACTCAATAGTATATTGTTTATTATCAGATTTGCCAGTTGTGTGGTAACATTTTCTTGAAGGGAAAGAAGTAAAATTTCTTTAAAATGCAGTAAATTAATAGTGAAAAATTTCTTTGCCTACAAATTTCTTTGACTTGCAAAAATGGGATTTGCATTGAAATAAAATATATGAAAAAAATAATTTAAAATGTAATTTTTGTTTTATATTACATTTACCTATATTTGCTGGAGGACCAGTTGGTCAAAGTGCTGGATTAAGACTAGGGAAACCTGAGTGTCTCATACTTGCATAAGCATACAAGCCAACTTGATGACTTTGGTCCAGTTGCTTTCAGCACTATAAAGAAGGCAGTGCCAACACACTTCTGAAAATGTTGTCAAGAAAACTATAGGGACTTGCCCATGTAGTCACCAAGAATCAAGACTGACTTTAATAAAAGGTGAACAATTTATGCAGTCTTTATTTTTTATTTATTTTATTTGTTTGAATTTATTCTTTACTCAACTCCAGGGAGCTTTGAACAAAAACTGACTTGGTGGCCCAAATAACACCCCCCCCCCATCACAATCCTGTGTAGTACATTTGATTTATAATAAGGTGACCAACTTTTTTACAATGAAAAGGAGGACACAAATAAATTGAAGAAAAAAATATCGTAAATAAAAGAAACATTTTATTCATTGCAACAATAATACAGACAACTTGCATGTGCAAAGTTTGCCAGCCGGGTGTTTTGGCGCACTCAGCAGCAATTCCTATTGGCTTTTGAAAGCCAATAGTGGGAATAGCACAGCTCATGCAAAAGTTGAAAAAAAACCCATCAAAAAAAGGTGCCGGAACACCGTTCTGAGCGTTCTATGAGGGAAAAAAAGCCCTGCAGATTAGTCTTCAAATATCGAAAAGGAGGACATGAAGGAGGACACTTTTTGAGGGAGGACAGAACTTACAAAAGGAGGACTGTCCTCCCTAAAGGAGGACGGTTGGTCACCTTATTTATAAGCAAAAACACATTGAACCAACAGAATTGAATAACCTATATACATTATGAAACTTTCAAATATTTTTTGTGAGTAAATATGGCTGTTTTAATGTTTTTAGGAGACAGTTGCAATTTTCTGACAAGTCATATTGTTGGCTTAAAACTGTAAGATATGAAAAAGGAGGTCTCTAGATTTGAAAAGGAAGTTAGATACTTGTTATGAATTACATTGTTTCTGCTATATTCTGTTGATGGTCACCACAGATATTTTTGTAAAACAGAGATGGCAAGTCACTGTGGTACTTGTGGGACACTTCTCCAGGTATTGATTAGGTGGCCCTTTCTGAAATAAATTGGCTTCCCAAGAGATTATCGACTCTGGCCTAATTGCATATCTTCAAACATTAAAAACTATATATATTCATAGAGCTACACCCCCTCCCACATACACACACACAAACACACACACATGCACATACACACAGGGTATATCAAAAGTCGGACTCCATAGATAAATTATTATATAATATTACATTGTTGGGATTGGTTGGCAGTTCTTCAAAACATTTCCTTAGTTGTTTGACACATGATTTTTGAATTTTTAAAAATTAGTACATAAACAAAATAAAACATTGTGATTTATCTATGGGAAATCGGAGGAAGATAGCACAACCAAAAAGTAATATGCTATGAATGTAAAACATTGTATAGCGAGCTTCTGGCAGATACAATATCTTGGAAAAGTAGAGCTACCCAGATATTAGACACAATTTATGACTAAACAAAATTGACTTACTTGTGTTCAGTGTTGAACATTTTGTTAACAATTCCATTTATTTTTATCTATGGCTTACTTTTATCAGCATCCAACCTTCAGCATGCCCACATAAAATGTTTTCTAATTTAGGCCTATTCACATGCTCCAAAGCAACATGCAATAAACTTCCTTTCTCATATTCATGTATTTCTCTTTTTTTAGTAATTTTATTATGTTTATAAGGATATAAATACAAAAGAAAATGAAGTAGTGGGAAAATGGGGGAAGACAAAGGGAAGGGAAAAATGTATATGGTAAAGAGGGAAAAGAATAATAATGATGATAAAGTTGGAAGGGACCTTGGAGGTCATCTAGTCCAATCCCCTGCTCAGGCAGGAAACCCTATACCATTTCGGACAAATGACTGTCCAGTTTTTTCTTTAAAACTTCCAGTGTTGGCGTATTCACCGCTTCTGGAGACAGGTTGTTCCCTTCTGGAGGCAGGAAAAGCACTGACTCCAAATCATTGTAGCACAGTAGAATAGGATAATAACATTATAGCCTCATTTTTTTACTTTTAAGTGCTAATATATACTAGCCATTTCTATAACAACAAGCCTACCTAATTAGCAAAACCCAAAGTCAGTTTCAGTTTTTTCCCATCTCAAGCACAATTTCAGAAGCAGTTTCTTTTCTTTGATTAAGGACATTCACACATTTTTCAATAACTAACCAAAGAGCAAAGCCTAATGCATTTCTCAAAGTTTCACAATTGTCTACTATTTGCACCTTTATCATCAGAATTTTAGCTTTTAGATTTTTTAGCCATTACTTTCTCCCAAAACTTGATATGTTCAGGACATTATGGAAACATGTTTTAAAGAAGCATTATTCTTATCTCCAACAAAATGCTGTTTTTGACAGTCCTTTTCTATGCAAACATAATGGAGTCAATAAGTTCTAAATAATATTTTTTGTAGTTATGTACTCATCTCATACACCATTCCCATCCTTTCATCCATGTCTATCATCTGATCATCACACTGAGTTGTATAATTTTTCATTTTTCTTCTATGCTTTATTTATCCAACTTATTTTATAAATATTATATTTTCCCCTCTCTGTTAATTCCACAAATATCCTACCTCCTCTTATCTTCTCTCCTCATATTATTGAAAGGGACCTTAGAAGTCATCTAGTCAAGCTCTCTGTTCAGTTCTGGATTTGCTAGAACATTTCTGACTGAGAGATTGTCCAGCCTCTGTTTGAAGATTTCTAAAGAGAGAGAATTCAACACATCATGTAGCAACCTATTTCATGCAGTTTCATACAATCAGAAAATTCCTATCCTGCACCTCCTTCCGTGTTCTTTTAACCCATGAATTTGGGTCCTGCGTTCTTGATCAACAGATAATATTCTGCTTTGTCTTTTGAGTGACAACACTTTAGCTATTTGAAGATTTATAATATCTTCAATAAATCTTTTTTTTTGTAGCTTAAACAATACTCAACTTCTTTAACTGTCCTTCATGGGGACAGTTTGTTTCCACACCTTCACCATTTTGGTAGCTCTCTGAAATTGCTCCAATTTGCACTGTCCTTTTTGAACTATGATGCCCAGAACTTAGCAAGATATTCCAACATGGTCTGATCACAGCCAAATAAAATATAAAAATTATTTCCTGTTATGTAGCTTCTAACTCCTTTTAATATACCCCATTAATGGTACCTCTTGGAAACCTCAGCTCATTTTGAGATTTAGCCTTTCCTTCCTTCCTTCCTTCCTTCCTTCCTTCCTTCCTTCCTTCCTTCCTTCCTTCCTTCCTTCCTTCCTTCCTCCCTCCCTCCCTCCCTCCCTCCCTCTTATTAATTCACGTGTTTTATTGTACATTCTTCTTACGTTCCAGGTTACAGTCTTATAACTATGATTGTCAAAATATGGTTCCATGAATATTGGTTTTATTAAAATAATGCTTTTAGTAATTTTTTTTAAAAAAAAGAGTAGACTAGGTCATCAGCTTTAGTCATATTTGCACCATATATCAGCATTCCTGGCTAGTGATAAAGATAATACTTGTTCTGATAATACAGTACAGTTCTGGCACCTTTTTAGTCAGATTCTACAAGCATAATCAGTTTTATAGCAAGCATGTTTTTTCCCCTTCTCCTGCAAGCTAGGAACTCTGATTTAAAGCACCCAGCAAACCATCACATCCAACCAAGTAGGAGCTACACACAATGTGCTATCGCTACACTCAGTATACTTTTATATATCAGTTATCTAAATATACCATACAGAAATAGACATTTTAGTTTTATTTTTTTATATGCTGCCATCAAAGCTAAATTTCCCAACTGGCTTATATTTTTCCTTCTTGTATAGCTTTTTGTAGATTGAACTGCACTACAAAATTTAGGGAAATATTAACATTGAAATATACTGTACTTCTGTTTGCTCACGAGATAGAGAAATGCAATTATGTGTGCATGAAAATCAAAGCTATACTCTCTTCTGTCACTCCAGTTGATGTTCAGTGGTCACCAGATGTTTATACTGATTTAACTGGGTTGTGATTCACTAATCTCTTCCATTCAGTAAAGGGAGATGAGGCTTCTTTTTAATGCCCAAAAGCAATTAGTCTCTTATTTAATCTCTTTCACTCTACAACTATGAGATGAATTGGTGCACAAATAAAATGTTAGAGACAGGAACAGTACTCCCATTAAAAAACTATAATGCTGCATA